TGGAGCAAAAAACTAAGTAGAGGCCCACAAACACAACAAAATGCTCAACATCAGTTATTATAAAAGAAATGCAAATCAAAACCAAAATGAGGGATAGGCTATATATCTAAAAGACTGGAAACAACAAATGTTGGCAAGGGTGTGGAGAAGGAGCACCCATTCATTGGAGATGGTAACGTAGATTGGTGCAGTCTCTATGGAAAACAGTCTGAAGAGTCCATACTGATTCAACCATAAAATCCAACAATACCATTCCTAGGTATTTACTCAAAGGAAATGGAAACGTCTATACAAACAGCCTTATGCACCCCAATGTTCATAGTAACATTATCCACAACAGCCAAGATATGGAATCAACCTAAATGCTCACTGAGAGACAATTAGATAAAGAAATTGTGGTATATATACTCAGTGGAATACTAGTCTCAGCTATTTCAAAAGATGAGTCTCTTTGAGACAAAATGAATGGACCTTGGGGAGATTATGCTAAGTGACATAAACCAGAAACTCAAAGACAATATATCCGGATACTTTCTTTTCTTTTTTTAATAAGCAAAAAGTTTATTTAATAACAATGTTAACTTTAACAGATTTGTTATTATTAATTTCGGTTATCTTAACAATTTTCTCTTTTTTATTGTACTGAGAGCCCATTTCCTTAATCTTTTTTTTTCCTTTTTTTTTAATAATATAACAGTTTATTTTACATCATTTTGTACATTTTTTTTTTTTTTCATCTCAATTGTAACCCCCGTGGTTTCCCATCACCAAGTCACCAATTTACCGGATACTTTCATTCACTATTAATATCGCTAAGAGGAAAACATCTCCCATACAGACCTACAATTAATTAATTAATGCATTCCTATCAAAATTCAAGCTGCATTTTTGCAGATTGTTTTCAATGTATAGGAAGTTAATAAATCACTGAAATTCAACTCAATCTTCCTGATTTTGGATCTAATTTCTACCATGCCACCTCCTCAGCAATCCCTGATAAAAATAATAAAGTTTAGTACGCCTTTCTGTTCAGTAACAAGTCATCAAGCACATATCATATGAGAAATCTTGAAAAAAGAAAGTAACTAGAAGGACTCTATATTAGCTGGACCATAGAAGATGCTTACTTCATAAACACTTACGGAGGCACTTAGATGCCCCACGTTGTGCTAAATGTTTTACAAATAGTAATCATATGCACTAGGATCCATTCGTATTCAATTTTTCGGATGGGCCCTGGGGCACAGAAAGGTTAAATAACGCGCAACAGTCACAAATCTAGTCACTAGTAGTCTATTTGGGATATAAATTCAAATAGACTACTAGTGTAGAGGCTCTGCAAACCAGCTCTCCGTGCTGATGCTTCTCCAAAGATAACCCAACCACAGAATGAGATGGGGTTTATGCCCCTTCTACAAGGGATAATTGAGCCACACGGTGCAAGGTGACTCAGTTGAGATCAGTCTGGATTAAAATGCAGGTTAATGCAGTGTCTCTCCAGCAAAAAATCTAAAGTACTAACAGAAAGCACAAATATCAGAGGTAGGGTGTAGGCCAGAGGTGCAGGTGAGAAGATTCCCCAGAAAAAGTGGGGAGCAGAACAGGCAGCTTGTCTGAAATACACTGCTGAAGGGAACAGCACGTGAGACAGGAGAGGTCTGCTGCACCATGTGGGTCACTTCCCTGGCCAGGGATTGAACTCATGTGATAGTGCTCATGTGGCAGTGCCTGCCAACAGCTCCATAGTACTGAGATTTAACCCCTTGCACTAACACAGAGGCCCCAAATATAACTCTGAAACAAAATAAGTTGGATTGCTCTGCTATTAAGGACATTTTCTCTACTACTGCAATCATTCCATTCCCAAATAAAGAATTTAGGAAAGAAAACAGAACTCAATAAACAAGAAATCCATAATAATTACTAGAGGAGTTAAAATCTTTTTATTGCACACCAACTCAAGTTTTTCTAGTCTTGGACAAAACAGGTCACATATACTGAAAACATGTGCCAGGAATAGACTGAGATCTGGACTAATGGCATCTTGTTTTTATATTTGGATTTCCAAGTAATGTAAACACTGAAAAAATAAAGTTATCACCTACTCTACACTGATACTCTATAATACTCTACACAGTATTATAACAGCACCTAGAATCCAGTAGTTTTATAAATATAACAATTCTTACACCTTAGAATCTAGCATTGGTACATAATTAAAATAATCTTGACTCTCCAATACTACACAGCAACTTAAGGAGTATCTTTATAAAACAGACTGTACAAATTTTGTGTAACATTTTCGTAGAATAGTTATTTGAACTATTATGATATTAAGGCCAGGATACAGCTGTGGGTGACTAAGTCCCCAGCTCACTGAGTAAGTATTATCTTAGCATTAGACATAACAAAACATCTGTTTCCTGTTTTTCTTCTTTCCTTTATCGTTCTATTCTACTTCCTTCACCTGTAGGACACCTAATACAGCCACAATTAAGAATTGTTTCTGCCTGTCTCCTTTTCCATCTGTAACTTTTGCCCAGGGATAGTTTATGCAGTCAGTTTAGATGAGAGGGGGGCACAGCTAGAGGAAGCTCAAAAGTTCATTCTGAGACGAGAAGGCTGCCACATGTATCATTTACCTTTAGGTGACCAACTTCCTCCCTCATTTCCTACTAAACTTTTCCTGTTGAGGTAATACCAGCCACTCCAAAGGACAATTGTGATCCAAATCACTAAAGGAGAAGCTCTGGTAAATTGAAGAAATAAACTTACCAAGAGTGATGTCCCGTATTTGACACACAAAAATGATTATCCCTTGAGTTTGTTTGCATACTTCATGCCCAGATAACAGGATATATTTAAATTTAAGGAAGTCCATTTCTATGCAAATAGGCTAAGGTCAAAGAAGCTTTTTAGCCCAAGGCATCACCTTTATTATGAAAGTATTCAGTTGAAATTGACTTTAGTTCATTTTACACAACTCTTGTTTAATAGTGTCAGGGCACCTTTATATAGTTAAGGAAGTGACATTTCTAATGGATCCTATCAAATGGCTTTTAGAAGACAGTTAAAATACTCAATGGAATATACTAACAGAATGTCTTTTAAACGCATTAGATGTAATAAACTACAGAAAAAAAAAAAGACCTCAAGCTAACAGTGATTTGGTTACCTCTGAAAAGTAGGTCAGTCCAGGCAACAGTAAGAAAATTTGGACTTCTACTTTTGAACACTTGAATATTACATAATTTTAAAACAAGCATGAACTACTTATATAACAAAACATTTCTGGGAACTCTTCCCAGCTGAGATTTTTGAAAAAGAGAATGTGTTCTATTCCTTTTAGTGATTCACTGTAATAATCACTAAAAACACATTTTCTTGGTATCTTGGTATTTTGCAATCTATCATCTCTCTTCTTGCATATAACATGTAAGATGGCTTTATTGTCAAATGGCAAAAAGGAAAAGTAGGTACAAAAAGTAATTTCCAATACTTTGTCATTACTCTCCTTCCAAGTCATTACACTTACCAAGACTGATGAACTAGCCAGCTTAGTGGCCTTTATAACTTAGTGAAACACAGCATTCCAAATTGGCAAATTTATTACTAAGCAAAGAATAAAAGAATTTACACTTTTTTCTGACGTTTGCCTGATGTTGATTTTGGTCAGTTCCAAAACAGATGTCGTCCAATATTCCACTCTCTTATTCTACCATAATAGAATTAATTTAACTAGGCCAATAGCTGCCAAATAAGACTTCTGGCCCCCTTGCAGAGAAGGACTGTGTCCAAGTCTTGACCAAGGGGAATAAGATATGTGTGGGAATCTCTAGGAATTTTCTTTATGGGAAGGTTGCTCCTTGCAGGTTCCTCTCTGGATCTGAAAATGAACACCCCATTCTAGGATAGGAGAGCCAGAAACAAGTCATGGTCTCTGAAACACTGGTAGTACAGAGCCAGCATCGGCCCTGAACTAATTCCAGTACTTCATTTATGGGAGAAAAATAAACTCTTTCAAGCCTCTGTGACTTGGAGTTTCTACCAATGAAATCAAAACTAATCCAACCACCCCAACATTGAGACTGAGGGTCTCTGAAAAATAAAAACATGCTTTTTAAATTTTTGCCTATCCTCTGAAATTAACAAAAAGACTACTAATAATTCTTACAAGTTCTGAACACTAAGAAATAGTTTAGTAACAAGCCAAACTATATAACCCTAGATAAAAATTAAAATAATCTTGGTGCATTTACTACAAAATGAATATCAGATCAGCAAGATATGAGGTAAATAAGTTAGCAAAATAAAATACTGTGTCATTTAGGTTTTTAAATTTTTTATTTTAAGAAAATAAGCAGGAATTATTACAAAATTTAATTATATTATGATAAACTTGTATGATTTAAACACAGCTCATCTTTGAAAAGCTAACTAAGCTTATTGACTGCTCCATCTTTTACATTAACTGAATTTAACTTCACATTACCAACTATTTTTATGGCTTACATCATCACTAAACAATTTTCTTAGTCACTTAAAGAAAATGATAAAGGTCTCCATTTATTTATGAAATAAGCAAAATTACATCAGTTAGGTTAATCTTAGTCATTGTTATCAGTTTATAAAGTGAGAAAATGAATTCACTAGGAGTTTTGGTTTCAATTTTGCAAGTAAGTATAGTACTCAGAAGCCATTCCCAGCCTTAAACTTTAAACTCTCAGTCCACATCCTAATCATAGGGACTCACTCCTTCCACCTTGACAGATCAGCATGCAGAGCGGCCCTGAACAAGAGAAAGAGCCACCAGCTCCTCAGCAGCTGCTCTAACCATGCGCCAGCAGGCCCTACTCCATTTCACTTACGCATATATTCTGATTTACAGTGAGACCTGAGTGAAAACATCAATAAGAACTATCCCCAAAGTTATTATCTTCCTTTGGCAGAAAACCAGAGAGTTTATACCGTTCGCTGAGATAGAATCCACACAGTGTCAGTTTCTTTATGTTGTCCTTGCTTACCGCATTTTTATTTTAATTAGATAAAAATGAAAAAAGATATTACACAGAAAATTAACATCAACATCTGAGGAATTACAGATTAAGAAAATGTCACATAGTTCAGTACCTTTTCCAGTACTCTTATAACTCCCCCCTCTCAGAAGGAAATTCATGAACTATAGTATTTGAGGAGCTTCTCATCAGTAGGTTTTAGAATTTTCTTATCTGCCATATTAACCACCCATCCAGGAGCAAGACCAAAGAAAATCTGCCTTGGATCTTTTCGAGTGCTAAGCATTTTGAAGAGTTCATCTTTAGTGATATCAGGCAAAATATAACCATACTTCTTAGCAAGTTCAAGTCTTGCTTCAGGAAATTTGGCAGGATCTGCTAGGTAACCACGATTTTTTGCATCAGTATAATATGGTACCAGTACTTCTGGGGGAAGCATTCGTTTTGGAATGGGTTGTCCACGTAGGAAGAATGGAACAGGTTTGCACAGAATTTCTAGAAAAGTAAAAAAAATAAATAATAATAATAATAATAAAAGGGTTGTAAATAACTTTGCTTTAATGATTTTAACTAATTTTTAAGTATTGCCAAGATGATACCTTAATACTAAGAACTTTTCTTATTAAAAAGACTAAGTAGGGCCCTCCCTGGTGGTGCAGCGGGTTAAAGCACAGCACCAAGAAGTTAAAGCCACTTCAGCATGAGTTCGATCCCTACCCTGGAGGTGATCCACATGGTGTGGCAGACCTCTCCTGACCTGCCTGCTGCTCCCCTCAGCAATGTACTTTGTCAATCTGCCTGTTCTGCTCCCCACTCTGTCTCTGGTGAACCCTCTCACCGCACCTGTGCATGTGGCCTGTACCCCACTTCTGTATGCATAAATAAATAAATCTTTAAAAAAAAAAAGACTAAGTAAGCAAATGGAAACCCTTCATTTTCAAAAGATTGCATGTGACAATTTGTTACTCTTGGGTTACCAATGATTAGTGTATTTCTAAACATATAAGCTCATATTTAAGTCTTGTGTTTAAAGAAAAAATAACCTTTTGAGGTATATGAGAAAATGGAGCCACACGAGCCACACCACTAGTAGAAAATCCTAAAAAAGAAAACTGGAGCATTTGAACTGCAAGCCAAAGGGCCATGTTAAAATGCTTGTATGGCAGCCAGTATGAGACAAAGAGGAGAAAGGAAAATGACCACAGATTAAGCTTACCCAGACTTCGTGGATCATAGAAGGCAGTAGTGACAACACCACCATTTTTCTCAATTGCAGCAATGGCTAATTCTGAAGCCAACTGCACTTCAATATTAACTTTTGCTGTAAAGGTGTCAGCACCCTGTAATATATCAAAACAAAATCTGTTAGTAGATGACTTAGCTACAAGTAAATGATGACAAGCTTCCTCTGTACAGTGTTCGTTCCTCCAACAGTAACAGTAATCCCAACATGTTTTAGGTCCTATCAAACAACATAAAATTTTTATACTTTTTTGGGGGTGCAGGCTTGAGGTACAGGGGGGAGTGGATTCACCAGAGACAGAATGGAGAGCAAACAGGCAGGTCTGCTGAAATACACCTCTAAGGCAGGGGAAAAGGAGAGGTCAGCTGCAACATGTGGGCCACCTCGTTGGCTGGGATCAAATGCAGGAGATTGAACTCAGGCCGTTGCAGTGTGTCTTTGGGGTGGCAGCACTGAGACAACCCTTATGCCACTAGGGAGGCCCCAAATTTCTATACTTTTTAGGTCATCCCCCCTATAGTAGTCATCCTCCTATAAGCAGGGAGACTATATTTTCATTTTATGTATTTTGCAGACATCAGTAGAAGCATTCATTCCTAATACTTCATAATAGCAACCTACTTAATCCTCATAATAACTGTATCACAAAAATACTACTAAGCACCTTTATAGAAGAGATGACTGACACACAAAAATTAAGTAACTTTTCCAAGATCACAAACCTAGGATTCCAACCCAGGAGAATCCAATTATCTATGCTCTTAATTACACATTATTTTGTATTACATAAATAAAAACATCTTTTTTATCCTAATGAAGCAAGAAGCCAAAAGATAGTTAAAGGGGAAGAATAGGCTGGAACCAATGAAAGAAACAAAATATCTGATAATATCTGAGCTTTGAAGAGCTCAGCACCCTGTAGGGGAAAAGGTAGAAGATAAGAGAAATTCGTTTTTCACTCACTATCAACCATATTATGGCCTCTAAATTGACAAAAAAATTGAATCTTTCTCTGAAAGATTCAACACACAAAAAAATGATAATACTGACTGTTCCTAACTCCAGCCTCCAGAACTTAGCACAGGTCCTGACACAGCTGTCCTATGCTACATACCTTTGATACTGCCATACATTTTTATAATCAATGGCACTTTTGATATAACAAAATAAGGCCTCACCGTACTATTTCTGATGTTAAATTACTATTCTATGCATTGGGTCTAGTTCCAGTATTTTCAGTATCTTTAAAAGTATGTTTAGAAATATCTTTATATAAGTTGGATTTATTTTGTTTTATCTTTAAAACATACAGTTCCAAATTGGTGATTTCATATTGAATTATTAGCCACTATTTTTTGCAAGTCTGAAAAAAATCAGAAAAGGCCAGAGTTATAAATAATGTTAGCTGTACTTACTCAAGCACTGCCCAGTTGGCTGGATTATTGTTCTAGCTTAACAGACATATTTAAAAGTTACTGGGATATGCAATGTAGTGGCTAAAAAGGCCAACGACTTTTCCACGTTAATCTACATGTTCATCCCCCCCACCAAAAAATAAAAACCAGAGTAGACTATTAAGGCCTACCCATGTAACTGGCATTCTCTTTTCAAATCATTTTATTTAGAAAGCTTTTATCATAGCGTTCACTTTGTTTCAAAGAAATATAAAAGGTATTCCATAAACATATGCTTCCCTCTAGTGGTCATTAAGTTGCATATACAACTATATTACTGACAAAATAGGAATATTTGATTAATAACATACAAGTTTGTTTATGAAATTTCTGACCCATTCTATAAAAAGAAAACTTCTTTTCTGTCATTACAACTGGGTTAGCGTCATTCCCTTCCTCTTTAAACACTAACTACCATGCGCTAATATTCCCAATACAGAAAATATAGCAATTAATCTCAAAGAACTTCTGTTATAGCGAGGAAGATAATGAAAAACTAAAGCATTACTTGGTAGAAATGTCAGGTGTTCACATACTCACATATAATACTCTGGACAGAGAAAGCAGATTATGACTGTGGGGAGTGTCCTTTCATAAAAGATGTCAAAGAAAGACTTTCCTGCTCTGGGGACATTTGAGCAAGGATGCCAGGACAGGGCAAAGAGAGTCCTTGATGAGAACATGCCAGCTTTCTAAAAGCTAATCCAGACTTACCTCCTCGACCAACTGGACACCATAATCCCTTTTAAATGGCTGGATGGTCACACCTCTCCCATTGACAAGTTGGGTTAAGTCAATAGGTTGAGCAGGATCAACTCGACCCATATCAATAAGATACTGCAGTCTATTAAGACTCAAAGGTTGATACTGGCGCCTGAAGCTACAAAACAAGAAAGTAACAGTTGAAATACTCAAACTTATCTTTTTGTAAATTCTCCAAGTGAAGTCAAAGCTTTGTCCTGTTTTTTTCTCCATCAATAGATGGCTTAATGAAATAAAACCCTCCTGAGTACACAGAGACATACAATATTGCTTGCTTTGGCGTAATGAAACCAGTTTCCTTTGTTTCTTTAAAAATAATTTGCCTTTCTAAGTATGTATCACTCTTTCACAAACAAATTTGCAGAAAATTTAATCCACAGATTGATATGCACTAATATATGCATTAATGGTGCTTACAGTTAACAGTAGTTATCATTTGTTGAATGACTATGATGAGCCAGATTTTCATATATACCACTGTTAAGTCTCTGAACCACCATGAGGAAAGCAGGCATCATCATCTCCATTTTGCAAAATTGAGTACAATGCTTGAGCATTTTCCCCTATTAATCTAGTCAAATTTCATTAGTAAAATGGGTTCACAGAAACAGTAGCAAAAGTTTGCTTCAAAGTCAATTCAATTTCTACTAAGCTACTTTTAAGGTGATTCTTGTGAAAATTAAGGATTTTTAGTTTTAAAAAGCAACCTTACCTATGTCCTTCATTAAACCCATATTTTGGGATTCGGAGGTAAAATGGAGTCTGGCCTCCCTCAAAGCCCAGTCGGGGCCTGGTTCCTCTCTGCCT